AGAGAGAGAGAGAGAGAGAGAGAGAGAGAGAGAGTTTTGACATTGATGTCGTTTTGACAATCATTGACAAATTCATTTTTGTGAAGTTGTAATACCAAAAAAAAGTGATGGAAATGATGGTACGATCGTATGGATTGTATGACAGTGATATTATTAATTCAAATGATAAAATATTTTTTCAACGAAATAAAAAATCACGAAAAATATGAAATAACTAAATATTATTATTGCATCAAAAAAGCTTATAATTAAATATCAAAGATTATAATATAGTATTTTAACAATACTTTCAATTATTAATATTAATGTAAATAAGAAGTAAGAATTGTCGCAACAATTTGACAATTCTTTATAATAGGTTTAATTCGAAAATTAATAGTTGTTTTTCAGTTATTATTGTATATAATAATAATAATTATAATGGATTAGAAAAACTCATAAATTATAAGAAAAACAGAGATTACACATCAAATCAACAAATTAATGCTTAATATCTCTCTCAACACATAATTCAGTGATTTTCGCATTAGATCTGATGAGAGAAACGGGATTTTACTTCAAAAGTAATTACAAACTCTTGAGAGTAAGTTTAAGGACAGGAATGCTGTGAGAGATAACGTAGAGAATGGCACGAAATGTCTTTATTTAGTTGTCATTTATGAGGTCGTTGTCGTCGGGGTGGGAGTCGATGGCGAACTATTATTGGCCGCACTATTGTTTGAATTGCTTGTGTTGTTTGAGTTGGTCTGTTGTGCCGCCCATTGAGTGGTGAGTTGTGTGCCCCGGAACTGAGGAGTGGCCACCTGTACGGGTATTAACTGTATAGTTGCCGGCCCTTGAGATGTATGGATTGTGGTGGCGATGTGTTGCTGCGCTAAACTCGCGTTCACCACATTGTTTGCATTGACACTACGGCTGCCGCGACCACCGCTACCGGTGCTCGGATTCGTGTGAATACGTCTGTGACGGCCTGTCATTGAGTTACAGAAACAACAATTTATAGCAATCACTTCTAATGGACGCAAACAAATGCAGCAATAATTTACTCAATTTGTCCTTTCGGTAGAAACCGCGGCCACAGTACTCGCATGGATAGGGACGCTCTCCCGTGTGAATCATTTGATGCCTTCGGAGGTGATTTTTCTGCGAGAAGGATCGGCCGCAGACATCGCAATGGAATGGCTTATCCCCTAATCAATAGTATGACAACAATTCTGGTTAACAACTGACACACAGATTGTGCAGACGGGCGATGAGTACCGGTATGTGTGCGCATGTGATCCAGTAGTTTGCATCGATAGGAGAAGCCGGAGCCGCATATCTCACACGAGCAGGACTTCTCTCCGTGAGCGACCCTCACGTGGATCCGTACCC